TCTATATTCAAGCAATCACTTTGCTTACATGCTGATATACTGAAATATTTCTATTTAATAATCTGATTCGTCCCACGAAAACTGGCTATTTTGCTAAAAAGCTCTTACTATCTAACTATTTAACTCCTTTAATTAACAACAAACTCTAGTATCCATTTATTTGAAAGAGATTTTAATTATTTTTGATACATTTTAATGAGGGAACTTTGCCACAGTTACTTGCTACACTTTCTAACTACATATTGATCCATCCCATGTAATTCAATGATACTCAGAGGTACCACAGGCTCTATAATTGCAGCCGATGAGCCGCGGTGGGCGTCGGCCATCGAGGAGTCGCTGCACCAATCCATCATTTTTTCTGTTTCCAAACCTCTCCCACACCCCCTGCATATCGACACCCCGGGTGATACATGGTCACAGGGTACTCAGAGCAAAGCGTATGGATTTTTTCTTCAGAGACAGCAGCACACATGCCCTTTAAACCACTCCAGTGGTCTGGTAAATAATGTATTCTCCATTTTTCCTACAGGGAGCTCCAGTTAAAGTAGGCCAACATGTCTGACAGCCGCGGTGGAAGACCTCCTCCTTCCTGCCCGTGGTAATTCTGTGCAATGGGACTTCATAGCATTAGAAATGAACTCGCTCTCCTTTTGGCTCTGCAGTGGTGTCTTTGATACTAGGTCTGCTCAGTGTTTTGATCTCAGAACAGAGGAGCCTGTAAAAAGCAGTCACATCTTGGCAGAGTAGTTCATTCAGATGGTGGATCAGGGGAAAAATATTATCCCCGATGTGAAGACCCAGAAAAAAACATCTCTGATCACAAGCTGGAGGGAAGTCTGATGTTCCCGACGAGAGCAAACTCCCCCCAGTCTGTCTGCTCCTTTCTGCGAAAAACAGAGAAATATCATTACAGTTGTCTTTAGTAAATCCAATATTTCTTACACTGCAATATAACTGAGGATCCACAGTGCAGCCTTCCTCTTTTTCCTCTGTGTTTTTGTCTGTCTGTCTTCCTGGCTGGGCGTGGCTGACCTACATTTGGATTTCCGTCTCCACACCGCTCCTACTGTTGTTCACTACTCACCTGCACCTGCTTAAAACCCTAGTTCCAATCCTCAGTCTTCGCCAGTTCTTCGTTTATTCTTCAGTGGTAACTAACGTCCCGGCCTACTTAGCATTTTTGCCTCGTAACTTTTTGATGCTCCTAGTGAGCGGATTTACCTCCCTAACCTGCTTTTTTCCTGTTCCAGATCCACACACCTGCTGCTCCACCTGCCACGTCCAGCCACCTCCCTGGTCTGTCCTGCTCATCGTCTCCCCTCTCTGAGCTCCTCGTCCCGGTCTGAACCTCGGTTCCAGGATTCTCTTTTCAGCGTCCTCTCCTACTCCTTGACTGCCGTGGTCTAAAATAAAGCCCATTTTTGACACTTCACCACTGTTTCAGTCTTAGTGCTTGCATAACGGGTTCTCATCTCCAGTCATTCCACGTGAAGCAAACAATAACTTTTATTATGGTATTTTTGTACCTAGGCTTCTAAATACTTGTTTTTAAGTACTTTCAAATGTAATGTGTTTCTTTTGCACATATGTCTTAATGTTAAGTATTTTTAGTGTTGTGTCATCATGACATGTTACTTGTTAGATGCTTTAACCAAAGTGACTAACATACTCAATCCTGTGGACAATCACCACAGGAGCAATTTGGGGTGAAGTGTCTCAGGGACACAACGACATGCTGACTGCAGTGGGATTCAAACTTGCTACCCCCTGATTTGAAGTCACAGCCGCACATCAAAATGTGCAATATAAAAAAAATCGTTCACACTATATTGTTTTACAATCCACACATTTCCAGATGATATTATTTTCAGGAGTAGAATACGTTTATTTGGCCTTTTCTTGGGATTTTGTCGGTGTTTTTTTTTCATTATGTCCGCCTTCGCTGCAGATTATAAATATTCAAAAAGTATTCCATTATGTTTTCTGATGGAGAAAACACATTTTTGTTGTCCACAGCTGACATTAAATTTACCGGATTTCATTCTGTGAATTAATATGACTGCACCTCCTTGATCCTCCTGAGCAACAGTCTGTTCTCCTTAGCAACGGTCTGTTAACAAAAAATAACAGACCCATTGAAAGTCCAAATTGACCAATCAGAATCAAGTATTCAATTGAGCCATGTAATAATAATTCTAAAAGAATACCATCTTAAAACATGTAATCATAAGTATTTGTCTAAACTTTAAACTACATTAATGTATTTTGTAACTCTACAAAAACATTTCCCTTCAGTGTTGAGATATAATGGATAGTCTATTTTTGTCACACTATGTGGGTTTCATTCAATAAGAGCTATATGGGGATTATCCTAATGGCGTTAAAAGCCTTCAACACCCACTAATGCCATTATGGTTGCTATGCACTAGTGATTCAAGCCAAGAATTATGCAGCATGGGGTGTTTCACCTTTTCCCAAAGCAACTAATGAACATATGATCTTTCCCTCAGAAAGTACATCTGCTGAATTCATCTCGTACATCACTAAGAGTATGATTTATGGTTCTACAGTATTAAATCAATCAATCAAACCCTAACCCCACAGATGTTAATTGAACTAGAAGATGACATCTTACATCAGAAACATGATTAGATCATTTTGAATAGACAGCAAATGATCCAACTTCTATACGTTTATTTATTTCAATAATTGGCCTTTAATTTAAACTTGATTTGTGACACTTATGTATAATCATCTTAAACATAATGAACATTTAACAAAGGGCTCAGTTACGGATTGAAATGATTACCGGTAGATACTAATTATTGAATGACATTTATCAAAATCATTAATTGTGAACATGCCAGACACATTCATCTCATTAAGAGACATTGAAACAGTGAATTAAAACTAATAAAATTACACACACAGTGAGACAGAACCATTTGTGTGTTTTATGTTTGACGTTGTTTAGTTTTATACCATGTCCTGAATTGTTAGCCTCTATGTTGCTTGTTTCTAATGATTTTATTAAGTGTAAGGATTACAATTTGTTTTTAAGTTTACAACATTTGTCTGGGAAATAAAGATTACAAATATCCCTGGATAATCCTGGCGCAGTTGCAGGACTGACTATTAATGTGTACCGTACCTGGTAAATAAACAAATACATAGCTTTGTTGATGGATACTGTACATGAATACATAAGTACAATCAATAAAATAAATGAATACATTAATTAAAAGTACAAATAAATTGAAGAAATGTGATTACTGTTTTGGTACATTGTTAAAATACACATATAAAAGGCCATCATCAACAAACAAATTATATGAATCGTTCTTTTGCATTAAAATATATATCAGCACTACAGCAGTTTGATGCCTTGCCGGACATTTGGTATAGTTCCCTTTTTAGATTCAAACGTGCCTGTCAGCTTCCTGCTTGGATCAACATGTCAGCTTCCTCCTTCTCTTGCATGGCAAAAATTATTCAATCAGTGTGTGACAAGATATAAAAACTACTTGGCAGATGTCACACACCATCAGGGAGGGGGAACCAGACATTTTGAGGGTCTTTGATGGAAAACTAATGAGATCTCCTCAGAACGTCGTCACAGTTTTGTCACAGCTGGACTCTGAGTGGTTCAGCGCCCTCAGCGCGGATTTTTCACCATAAATCTTGTTATTTTGCATTTACGAATAACTATAGCACACCACATTACTTTAGTTAGACATATGCTCTGGTTAGCTGAAGGGAATTCAAGCAGTGAAGGAAAGTACATTTACTCAAGTACTGTACTAATTGTGTGGTATTTGTACTTTTAATGAGTATTTTTTAAACTCCACTAACATCGTACTATTTACTCCACTATATATATTTGATAGCATTCGTTACAAACATGCTTCTACTGGGACATGTCTCCATGCTTTAATGTTCAAAAAGCTCTTTATTTTTCTCATACTGCCTGTGCTGCATCACCTCTTTTCACCCTCTTTTCTGAAACTAGAGCCCAGTCTGATCTGATTGGTTAGCTGGCATGCTCTGTTGTGATCT